TTCGCTTGCAAGGCATGCAATCATGTAGTCTATATAGTTCCGGTAAAAAGATAAAGAAAAAATATGGGTTTCCGTAGCGCATCACCACCCCTGTGTTGTAAAAGACTAATTAAAGCGGCGGCCCGCATCCTGACTAATGAGTGTGCCTTGACCTTGCTCCAGAGCGACCATCAGGAGAATATGATATGGTACGATTATTCTTGGACTCGGCAAAAATCCAGCCGGATTTCAACTAAGGGTGATCTTTATCAGTTTCACATCAAATTGCAATTCTAACTTCAAAGCTCGGGCAACATTACCGACAAGTTGAAGGTCAGGGCATTTTAGTTACTTATGATATCGATATTTCAAGAATATTCAGATTGACATATGGTAAAACTTGTTGGGTGTCCACATTCAATTGAATCACAGATTGAATATCGTTGACCTTCAACTCCCTCTAATATACCACTATTGTTTTAGGGTATGACTAAAACAATAGCGACGTGAATATGCAAAGCGCGTTCGGAATTTCCGGGTTCATTGAAACCGCAGACACTTAACATTGGACACGCGCGGCTTATGCAAATCATCACTCTGGAAATGAGCCAATTTCACAATTTGTGATCAAGCGTTTTTTGCTACCAATAAAGGAGTGAGACATCAGACAAAGTCGATTATTAAATCTGGCCGGAAAAGTGAAATCTTTTTCAATTTTATATTACTACTAATTCCATGAACAACGGCACATTAAATGATATACAGAAATCCAAGTGCTGCCCTTATTCATTTAGTTATTTCGTAAGTAACATTTGAAAAGATTTCAACTTTTTCGTGCGTATATACACGCATGCATGTATGAAAAACGTGTAACTGGAAAAGTTTTCCTTGGTATATAGAGATGCAACTTCCTCGAAAATATAAGGAGAATTTGAAATCATCCTTACCAACGAAAGCTTGTTCATTTGATTGGCACCACCCACACTGGCAAAGACAGTTCAACTGGAAAGCAGCTTTATTAAGTCTTTTAGTCTTATTAAAATTAGTCACTTAGGTCTATTTAAGACATTCCAACGGACAATGCCTGGTTCGTGTTTCTCAATGGGGAATTTAAGGAAAGACGATCGGATCGGCGCTTTTTTATACATAACAAAAGTATCCTAATTACTAAATTAGTCTTCTTCAAAGCCAAAATATTGTTCAGAACAAGTATACAATTTCGCCTATTTTCATTGTGTTATGAAAAATAATGCACCCTGTCTTTGGCTCTGAGAATATAGTACAGTAGCCAGTATATTCTAAGCCTCGTTCTAAGCGGTTCGTCAGTTTCGATGGCTGCATCACCTCTTAAGTTACTTCTTCAAAGAAATAAAATAACTTTAAAGAAAACTAATTGTCGTGTATTATTTGTTAGTTATATGAATTAGGTTTTATAAGGTTACTTTTCTAGCTACTCAGTACTAATACTGAAGCCATTTTGCCGCCAGTCGGCCAGTACCACTCATGAAAGCAGTCGACATTGCCGTATACACTGTCACTGACATGAAAAGTGCTCAGTTGTATATATACTGTACAAAAATAGCTCGCGTTGAGTCATAAAATAAATCAAGATTACTAAAACGTCCTCGTGTGCTAAGAAAAACTCATGACTATATTGCGTTTTCACAATGAAAAGATCACAATCAAACCGGAACTTTCTATTATTCTACAAATTTATCATATCCGCGCTTTATGTTAATTAAAGGCATTTTGGTATGCCGGCTATATTGGTAATATTGTCATTGACATATAGATTGCAAAAATCTCAAACATGTATGATTGCGCAAGTTTCATGAAAAACTCGATTTACCAGTTTTTGGCGTGAAGTATTGCAGATTAATTCGGATTCGATTGAGTACTGAGTAGAAGCATATGGGGTCTTATAGAAGCACAAACTTTAATCAGAGGTCTAAGAAATTTCACTAGTGTGAAACAGTCTTAAATAATCCTTTAAGTGGCAATGATTAAGCCTTGATGCGCCCTGCTTTATTATATATACTCTGTCTAATGCCAGGCGATCTCAGTTACCAAGGGCAGACTGCTGCCACTCAAGACAATGGGTCCGGTATCCAATTTCCCAATTCCTTCTCGGGAGGGCTATACAACAACTAATTTTATAGTGGTTGAGCCCAGTGTGGTACATGCTTAATTCACTGTTAATTGTACCACAGATTGTACAAAGTCTAATCACTTTCTGATGTAGAAACGTTTGGGAACGCGTAAAATTAAATAACATATAATGTTCCTGGAAGACCAAGGGCGACCGTTCCATTGAGAAAGTGAGGAGAACGGCATCGGTTTGTTGACCTGATATTTTGTGGTATTTTTCCAACAACTATTTAGGGCAAAATTTATATACCAGCCTTTATTTTTCAATCGAAACAAAGCTGCTGTGGGATAAGGGTGCTTTCAGATATTGTTATAATCATTAACAAGATCAGTTTGGCTTTAATAATTAAGAATCGCAATCGCAAAATATTGTCAGTATACGACCACAATTGTTGCTGTATAGCTACTAATCATGCATGCATCATGATTCGTAGAGAAAGCAAGCAATGGCAAAATTTGGGCTGGAGGGGAATAATTATATCTTTCTCCTCCACCGTAAATATAGCGGGGTGATGCGTCCCCCCTATCCCCCCAGGATTGACATCCTTGCAAGTACCGAGTCAAAATAAAACTTATATATATCTTATGCAAGGCAAAATGAGTTGGAGGAAAGACGCATAGCCAGAAATATACGACATATAAGTCAATGAGTAATTGAAATATTTTGTGATATACGATCCGGAGGTTTATCGATATCCAGCGGCTTTCGTCTGGCCTTCGGTTTCATTAGGATTGCTCAAAACCCGAGATTTCAGCGACGAGCTTCAAAACAATAGTTTTGGAGAAGAAATTGACCGAAATCTCACCGAGTTATGGCCATGCTATTGGAACCAAAACGAAGTTTTACCGGTCTTGGATGCTCTTAACTACCTTCAAAACAACAAGGCAGGGACAAGGGAAGGGAACAATATATTTCTTCGTTTTTATATCATTCAAAGCCGTAAGAACTAAAGAACCTCATCTTGCCGGAACAAGCTTCGCATGTATGAATTTGTACTGTCTATAACGCGCAGCGAAGGATTTTCACAGGGTATTTTGCAATTTTTCATGCTTTTTGTTAACTAACTCACTATGGTCTCGCTGGTGATTTTGAATTTCTCAGGGACAAGGTTTGTCGACATCGAGACAGCACAATTTTAGGCTCAGTTTGTTCGCTAGCATTTGTTTGACCAAATTCGATCTTCGCATCCCAGAAATTGTATTGTATTGTTGAATTAGTAATACAATTTACTGTAAATATTGGGAATCAGGCACGGGTGATCACTTAGTGTTGCGTAATCACTATGTCGCTCATTTCTGGCTATGCGGCGGAACAGCGCGTGCATGGCTAATCATGGCAAAGGATAAAACGTATAGTGACAGATATGCATGATGACAAAAATCTATGCCTAAGGTCACGATTTTTTGTGACCAATGTTGGTGGTCTTCAGACTATATGCACTATTATTGTTATCACTGCACGTTAAGTGGCGAGAATTCTATTTATATATAAATCTAAGACTAAACTGCTCCCATATTATCTCATTATATCTTGCACCAAATCAAAACACTGTAGTTTCCTTGTAGATTTTTTAGCAATACATGTAAAGTTTTAATTAGATCAGTGTATATACTAATGAAGATCCGAGCTTATCTTTTGCACAAAAACAATAAAACAATCAAAACAAGGTATACGTTAAGAAGTTAAGAATCTCTAAATATAGTTGGAAATAGTTGGCCATTCCTAAATATAGCTGGAAATAGTTGGCCATTCTTAAATATAGTTGGAAATATTGGCCATTCCTAAATATATAGTTGTTAATATAATTGACCATTCCTAAACATAGTTGAAACTATAGTTGGCCATTCCTAAATATAGTTGGCCATTCCTAAACATAGTTCATGAAACTATACTTGGCCATTCCTAAATATAGTTGAAAATATGCTATAGCCATTCCTAAATATAGTTGGCCATTCCTAAATATAGTTGAAACATAATTGAAACTATAGTTGGCCATTCCTAAATATAATTGGAAATATAGTTGGCCATTCCTAGGTATAGTCAATTTTCAAGAATCTAGTATTCTAGATCTAATTCCTAGAATGACTGGAGATATTAGGTTTCAAATTGTTTTTCTTAGAAAATTTTCGCGTTTATTCCCGGTTCCTATAGGATACAAGGACTCGATCACGATTTATGAATAAGGTCTATTGGTATTTTTATTTCAATCGTCTATCACACAAGCTACCATTTTCACGGAAATATGTGAAAACACAACACTTTAGTGTCAACATAAAACCGCATTGTCAACATTAAAACTATTGACTCAAGCCGCATTTAAAATATTTTTTACTTGAAAGATTCAATATGGTTCAAACGATGTAAGATAATATGCTATTGTGATAAGAGCCGTTTCTTGGAATTGATAAAAAAATCGTATTCAAACGCAAATTTGATCATGGTCATCAGTGAATGGTACTTTCTGCACCTGAAGCTCTCTCCTCCGCAATTCCCGCCTGCGCTCCTTCGCTCAGCGGCTCCGCTCGTGTTCCAAGATCCGCCATGTAAAGTGTAGTGAAATGTATCTCAATACTAATCGTATAAATCATAGGCAACTAAAGCCTCTGCGGAGGAGTCTAAAAATTAACAGTATTACACATCTTCACCGGAATTTTTCTTATTCCTTAAAATCCTCAAAACGTTGCATTTGAGTTCCTTAAAATTATAGCATATATACAGGTAGTTAAGTAGTTTTGCCTATAGTTGTAGGAAACGGTGCAAGATTCCTGTTTTTAAGGATAAATCATTAAGAACGAGAACCTTAGGTACTTTCCCTAACCATTTTCGCTGAATATATCATTGAATGAAACGGAAGTGTAGTTTTCATTTCACACTCAGGAGCAGTGATTCGAGATCACGTTTAGCTACAATGGCGAACGACCAACAGGTATAATTGATATTGTTGTTTTCCTCGTATCATATATATGCATGGTTAATAATTAAGTCTCTTTAGCCACGTTCAACGAGATTGAACGAATTCGAAAGCGTACGTATATCCGTTTAAAAAGTAATTTCTACGGTAAGCTGTACTCGAAATCGTCCGGTTTCAGAGAGAATCGTGCAAATTTCATTTCTGTTCCGCATTTATCCAGTCTCGATGAGAATGAAGTCAGTTTAGTCTTCGTAGACTACCAGGCAGTAGCATAGTGTAGATAGTCTTATATAGAATAAATATATAATTATTACTGTTCTTTTGAGTATCGAATTCTGTCCTCACGGATTCTATTCCATACCCGTTATCCGTTGTCGGGGTCTTATGACTAGTACGGTTGACTAAATTACAACTTGATATGAAAATAGTCATGTTAATATAATGTTTTCTGCAGTTAACTGGTCTAATACAGTATCACTACAAACAGAATTTTAGGAAGCTATTTACCTATTCCTTAGAGTATTGTGATTTCACCATGACTACGACCTAAACATGAGGTTAAAGCCATACACATGCACTTACGTCATTCTGGCGTATGCAAATAGAAATGGCTACGTCTGCAGACGCCTCTTCTCTGTTCATCAGAATATGGCGAAATTTGAAATGTGACATCTTTACAACGTATTTATTTGAGTATATACATACACCAGTATAAGAATACTACTAGTCGTATTGTGTAGTTTGGCCTTTAGAGACCAAACTACAGAAATGCCTGCTCACAGGGACCCGGAAGAATTCGGAATAAACGGAACCTAAATTTGCCCGGCTTCACGGGACGCATGAAAGCGGATGAATTTTAGCACAGCTGCATGACTATGAGAATAAATGAAACCCGACGAATTTTCTCTCTAGTTCTGTGGTAAAGTTTGCCGGTTACTCGCAATGCACTCTTCCCGAAAGTACTTAGCCGTAGATTTTGAGCCTCGTTTTGTGGTTGCGATATCGGCTTTACAGTCTTTATCTTGTCACCGCGATGACTAGATTTTATAAAGGTCTTTTATATTATCTAATTTGACTGTGACACTGGGCCATAATTTAGTCTGCACATGCCACAAAATAAATGGCTCTAAAGCCGATATCTCAATCTCGAAAACGAGGGTATATTATATGCAGAGCCCGACAGGGCCTAATTTTACCGTTTGGTGTCTTGGTCCGGCGTGGTATAGGACCAGCCAAATATGCGTGTTCCATTTTGGCTCTATTCGTTGAATTTCTGTGTAAATTGTAAACAACCAAGGGTGGCCAAAATACGTTCTAACCTTCATTATGATAGTAGTGTATTTTCCAGAGAAGTTCCACCCTAAAATTAAAGAGTCCTGGTGACCAATTTATATGCATACAGTATTTAAGAAACGGCTGATATTGGAAGTATAGCTACACAGTTACGTTTGGTTGTTAAAGGATATTGCTCAATTTTTAGAACGAGGATATCGATTACACAATAGCTTTAGTACTGCAAGAACTGGAGGACCATGCGCTGGCTCAAGCAATTGCAGATTCACAAAGAAGAGAAATATACAGTCAACAGCAACCGCCAAAGCAAAACAGGATAGATTCAGAGCGGGAATACAGCCAACAACAGCAGCAACAACAACAACAACAACAACAACAACAACAACAACGGCAAACGGTATGGAGTTACAACGAGTAATAATAAAAATTGTTTATATGAACCAACCATGAAGTTATTTGTTAGCGAAAAATTCAATACTATTTGGTATGCAAGAAGAAAGCATACTTTGTTGTACTTATGTTACATTCCTGGGCGCGAAATAACGGTCGGTCAACGGACAATGTCCGGCCAGAATGCGGAGTTGTCCGGTCAAATTCTTACCTTGCCGGTCATTTTGACCGGACACTTTCGGTAAAAGAACAAACTAACTTCATTTGAATTAATAATCAAAATAAATTGTCAATAAGCTGTTTTATGTGAAGGATTACAAAAAGCCTTACTGATTACAGTAAGGCTTTTTGTAATGCTTTACTGGGAAAATAGAGTTGGCCGGTCACGTTGACCGGCGACCCTCCAGCGGTTATTTCGCGCCCTTGCATGCATGCGCATGCATGCGCATGCATCAAATGACAGATGTGTGATATGACGATTCCCCATTAGATTCTCCCATGAAAATGTTCCTCACTCTTCCTGCTATAAAAGCAAATGTTCCAGATCCTACTCTGTTCCCTCTTGAACAAAATTTTGAGTATTAGTACCATGTCCCTAGATACTTGAAATCCAAGGCAGTCCAATTACAGTAAGCCATCAGGTTGTACAGCCATACATTAACTATTGCAAAGAAGGCTGCGACAACTGTAGATGGATGATGCAGAAGGTACGTCTTATTGCCACAGAGACAGAAGAATGGTGTCGCAAGAATTTCGAGGTGACGTGTTATGGTGAGCATTTTACCCTGATATTCTGGTCGGGTGCGCGAAAAGATAGGATGGTGGTACAAACAGTCAAAGGAGAAGTACATGTAACTGTAACTAAACAAAGTTGGCTAATGTGGTTCAAAAAATTGGCTGAAAAATTCTTGACTGCTTTCAAGTATGTTTTTGCTATCACTGGTACGGCTGTGAAATATATTGGAAGGTAACTGAACAATCCGTTTATGTACGGTTTATCTCCCTTTACATCAATGGAAATGATATCAAGACCACTGATACTGCGTTTTTAAACTTCTTGGCGGAACCTATGCACATGTTGATAAAATCACTTCAAAAACTTCCAAGCGTCCTTCTTCCTCTTCGCATCCTATGACGAGCAGATATCAGTTTGATGAGACAACTATTACTCATTACGCCATCGTCATTGAGAGCGTCCAAAAAAACCCACTTCTGATCCAAAGCCGTCGGCCAAACTACGTCACTGATAAAGTGTTCATTTGAGACTTTCAAAAGAAGAGATGCCCTGTTAGAAAAGTACCATGCAGCATTGATAACAACACACTCGTGGAACTTTTACAAAAAGAGAGCCAATAACTTACAACTTAGACAAAAAAGAAGTTTTCCATTGGCATTGCATGTTAAATGGCAAACTTTACAGAACGAATTTAAATACGAACATTATCATCATTCTTTTACTGTATGGACCAGTTATTCATTACTCCTGCAGGTTAAAATAAAACCCCATTGTGTTTACATTTTATTGAGTACTTATTATTAACATTTGAATTGCAAATTATTGACATTTTATTGAGTGGTATTTTTAGAGTGCTTAATTACTGCTTATACGTTTAAATAAATTATCATTTCCACTTGGAAGGAAATTTCCTTTTAGAAGGAAATTTTGGTCTTTAGAACGAAATTTGGGAGAAAATAGTATTTGGAAGGAAATTAGAAGAAAATATTGTTACATAGAAGGAAAAATATAGAAGGAAATCAGCCAGAGATTTTGAAAGCAAATTTTGTAATAAAAAAGGCGAAATTTCGAGTTATTGGAAGGAAATTATTTGTTTTCGGATTGGAATTTGGGTTTCATGAATGCCACTTATTCTGCACTTGAAGTCTGTTAAGTCCTCAAAACGTTGTATTTGAGTTCCTTTTAAAAGTAGTATAGCCTGCGTGGCAGGCCCTCAATTTTATGGGGGCCTGATTTGCAGCGGACAGGATTTTGGCGGTCAGGCCCCCCACCCCCATAAAATTGAGGGCCTGCCACGCAGGCTAAAAGTAGTATAGTTAAGTAGTTTAGCCTGCAGTTGAAGGAAATCGTGCAAGATTCCTGTTTTCAAGGATAAATAATTAAAAGTAAGAACCCTAGGTACTTTCCCTAACCATTTTCGCCGAATATATAATTCAAGGAAACCACGGAAGTGTAGTAGTTTTCGTTTCACATTCAAGAGCTGTAGTTCGAATTCAGAGTTATAGAGTTCATGTTAACTACAACAATGGCCAACCAACAGGTAATTGATGTTGTTGTTTTCCCCATATTTTCTGACCATAAGCATGGACTCTTTGGCTATGTTGAACGAGATTGAACGAATTTGGAAACCGTACGTACATTTGTTTGCACAGTAATTCGCAGGGTTAGTTTGTACTTAATTCGCAGGGTTAGTTTGTACTTCAAGTCGTCCGGTTTCATGCCTCCCATGCATGTGAGAAAATCGCGCAAATTTGAGTATCGCGAGAGCAGAATTTATAGCAATATAGGTCCGGTTTCACCAGGACGAAGTCGATCCAAGATGAAAATCGAAATTTTCACATGGTCCACATGATCCGTTACACGAAAATTACAAATCTTTCAATCTATTCCCCTTGCGCGCCAGTTTCTTTTTTACAGTGCTTTTGTGAGCATGTATTGTTCCGAAGAACAATGCGTGCTCACAAAAGCACTGAGCCTGCATTGTTCCAAGCATTGTGAACATGGATTGTTCCAAGAGCACAGCCGAGTGCGGTCTGAAATGTATATTTGTGTTTACATTCATCCCAGTCTGAAGATATTCGATTTGGTCCAGTGAGCGGGATGACTTCAGATCGGTCTGAACAATTTTTCGTCCTACATTTCTGAATAATACTATCGGACCGAAATGAAATCGTCCCTGTATGACTATAATTATACGTCGCGCGCTCTCGTGTATTAAAACGCGGCCATATGTTGTATATACCCGTTTCTGTTGTCGGCATCGTAAGACTATATGGTTGACTAAAGTAGAATTGGATACAAAAATAGTGGTAATCATTTTAATAGTTTTCTCTACTTCACTGGTCCAATACAGTATTTCAAATCAAATTATTTACATTCAGAAATGTATATGAGCGAAGTGTTTTCATCATGGTTACCATGACAACGACCTAAACACAGCATCGGAAACCAAAGCGCTGATCGCCAGATGACTTTCGGACCACATATTCAAGTTGCATGATTTCGGCTCACACCTGATGCATGAAACGGGATGGACTTGTGGTTTGCTATCAATCCCTTGGGATTCATAAAGCTTCGGATACACGAGCAATATTTTTGAGCAATATAACGTAGCCTCAATTCGCTGACGGACAGACGGAGGTACCCGATCTCCGTGCCCGATGCCACCAGAAGTAATGAAATTATTTTAAATGCTCTTTGGGACTCGTAATAACACGAGCAAGGTGTAAATGGACCATACAGCTAACGGTATGAATGTTCCATCCAGACAAAAAAACCCAAAATCTATTATAATCAGGCAAATCGTTTATTTTGGTAATTTTCCGTTAAGACGGACCAATCAAATATGCTGCGTATTCCATTTTCGTTCGGAATCCAGGGGTGGTGAAAACTCGTTGTAACCTTCATCATGTTAACAATATATATTGCAGAAAAATTTCAACGCTAACACAAATCCATGCAAAGTGACCATAATTTATGAGCATATAATATAATTATAAAAGACGACCGATTGGACCTCATATAGAGAGTTTAGTTGTTCATTTTGTAATTTATAGAGAAAGGATGAAGATTCCAGGTATGCTTTCGATTTAGCACTTCAGGAGGCAGATGATTTTTACTTAGCTCATGCGATTGTAGTTTCAGAAAGAGAAGAAATATGCAGGCAACAACGACGACTGCGACCACCAACGCCACGTTGGCGGTCGCCACCAACGCGATGTTGGTTAGAGCAAGAAGATCGTGCAGTGGCTCAATCGTTTGCAGATTTGCAAAGAGAAGAGATATACTGGCAACAACGACAACGACGACTGCGACCACTAACGCCACGTTGGCGTTCGCCACCAACGTCATGTTGGTCAGAGCAAGAAGATCGTGCCGTGGCTCAATCGTTTGCAGATTTGCAAAGAGAAGAGATATACTGGCAACAACGACAGCGACGACTGCGACCACTAACGCCACATTGGCGTTCGCCACCAGCGTCATGTTGGTCAGAGCAAGAAGATCGTGCCGTGGCTCAATCGCTTGCAGATTTGCAAAGAGAAGAAGTGTACAGACAACAGCGAAAACCAAATTATTTTCCAGCACACAGACAACAACAGCAACGAAAGAAAGGTCCGACATTTTGGTCAAGATACGGAGATCACTTACAGCCGACGTGTTCGTCAGCACACAGTCAACAGCAACCGCCAATACGAAGCTGCCTGGACTCACTGTATTGGTTAACATGCACTCAGCAGTTTCTGCCAATGCAACATTACGTAGAGCCAACATACCAACAACCGCGACCAAAACAGGCAGAATCAAAAGACAGACGACAGCAAGAACCAGAGGTATAGAGCGTTAAGTTATTTGTAATAGTTGTAGTATTGTTTTTATTAGGCTTTACCATTTGTCTTTATAGATCTAATACCCTTTATCCAACCCACATCAACTCCTAACAGTCTGTATGCGATGTTACTCTGAGTGCATATCCACACCGGGCGAGCTTGAAAAATATGCCCGGCCACGGTGGGATTCGAACCTACGACCTTTGGAATACTAGCCCAAAAAAAAAAAAATCCTAACAGTCTATTCCTACACTATGCCTATAAGCATATGTAAAGTATTGTAATATATGTAAATGCTCAGTCGTCAGAGTAAGTAAGTGATGGGGGTGTGCTAATCATTCCTTACTTGAGTTGAAGCTGCGAGTAAACTCAGAGATAAGCTGAACTACGACTTACGAAGGACGCAGCTCAAGCTGATGGAGTCGAAGGCTTTCTCGGGACGTCTCTGGCAGCCACGTTATTACTCAAGTTTGATCATGGAGCACAGCTACAATGATAGAATCATTGGATGGGGCTTATCTCAACCCACCCTGTCAACATTCCCTGT